CGTTTGGGAGTAAAAATTCTTTTGAATTATCAACTCAAAAACGAGGTTAGTCAGGCTAATTTTAATACTTACAAAAGAATTTATAATTGGCAGCCATTCATGAAAAGGGTCTATCTTCAGATAGTTTTCGTAGCCCGTCCATGTAACCTTACTCTTCGGATAGTTTTCGTAGCCAATCAGATTGCGTTCACACAAGCGTAATCCCCGGAAAGTGTTCGGTGACCAATCAGAGCATCAACTGTCCCAGCAAGTCAATGGTACGTAAACAATTTTTTGAAGCGAAAGGCTGATCCGATTCAAATATCACGAATCGTTTTGATTTCTTATCAAAACGAGGAGTTCAGCCAATTGTTTGTATCCAAGGTAGCCACATGCAGTTCTCGACTGCCTATTTTTTGACAACTGATATGAAAGCCGGATTCATCTGTTGCTGATGTAACATCATGGCTTGCATCGTTTCTTGCTGTTTTTCCTGTTCCTTTCGTTTAATGTCCAACTCTTGCTGGCAAAAGGTCCCCTTCGTGGTTAGCATTTTCGTGCAAGAAATCCACTGGCGGCTCTGCGCATCTCTTGCGGCCTGAGTTTGTTGGCTGATCATCATCAGTCGTTCCCCTCGATGATTTTCGCTTCTTTTTTTTTTTTCCCATACTCTCCATAACTTTCTTCCTTATGTCTTCGGCTTTATCTTTGTCATTCGTCTGTTGAACTGATAGGTTGTCATCTGGTTTGATGGTATCCTGTCTCTCGATCAACTCTTCGATTAGAACCTCCTTCTCTGTCAGATCTTCAACGACGACACCACTAGCCGCCGCCTCCTCTCTGATCTTTGACCTGAATTTTCGTCGAAGCAATACCCAACGCTCTGTAACTTCTCTCTTATCTTTGCTACGAAACTGTGGTGAATCTATCTGATTTATATTGCCTAGTTCGTGTTTAAGCCTTCGGAAGCCAAATAAGAATGGTAGATATTTAAAGCATGAAAGCAAAAAAGTTTACTCACGTTTTGTGGACAACGGGAAACTCGCTGTTCTCACGTCCGCGCGGAGAGAGGACGGCTTCCTGCCAAAATGTAAGACGTCTATCAGAAATAAATCTGACTTCCGGTCGCAGTCGTCGTCGCCGTCGCAAAAATTTGCGTTACTAAAAGTCCCTACGGTTTTCTGGCGGACGCTCTGACCATACATTGCTCTCCTGTTCCTCATTAAATTTACCTGCTTTTTAGACAGTTTAAGTGCCTTTCGAGGGCGAAACCTGGGTAAATTCTCGTAATGAGGAGTGATGAAAACGGTTCAAGCTGTAGGGGCATGTCGTTGGCACCACTTCTCATTTCTGAAAATGTGTTTTCGACAATAAGCGTTTAAAGACGTTGAGATACTGTATGTAGTGGTAACTGACTTAATCCTTTAGGCTCCTAGTGGAGTAAAGAGCTTCAACAGTGCTCCGCCAGCGGACTCTGTTTTGTGCCATATTCTCAGCTGTGCCATCTTCATCTGTTCTTCAGTCGACCTTATCGTGCACGTCTTAAGAGAATCCACTTCAAGGCCTGATTAGTCGTGTCAGTGGCTCGTTTTCGCAGCGCATGGCCTACCCAAGGCCATCTCCGTCTTGCTATGTCGGTTGGTATTTGGTCTTGTCCCGTCCTGCTCCAAAGTTCTTTGTTACTAATTTATCCGGCCAATGTATGTTGTGAATCTTTCTGAGATATTTATTGACAAACCTTTGCAGCTTTTTCAATAGAGCTTGTCTCACTTTCCAGGTCTCTGACCCAGCGGGAAGCGTAGCTTTAACATTTTTAGTGAAGATGCGCAATTTGATTTTGTTAGAAATCGACGAGGCATTCCAGACTGGTCTAAGCGTGTGGACGGCCAGTCTGGTTTTGCCTAATCTGCTTTTCACACCCTCCTAAGCTCCGCCGGTGACTTTGATGGCGCTACCCAGATATGGTGAGCCTTTCTGCATCTTCCAGATCTTCGATTCGCCGCTCAACTTGATTTTATCCTGCTGCTTGTTATTAGCTCGCATGACTTTGGTTTTCTCTTTGCTTAAACTGTGACCAGTAGTCTCTGCGATTAGCGCTAGGTTGTTGGTCTTGGCCTGCATATGTTGCAGTTTCTGATAGGAAAGGCGTATATCATCTACATAATCCACGTTATATAGCTGAGTTGTTAGTGCCCACTGTATGCCTCTCTTACCCTTATCTTCCACCTCTCTCATGATTAAGTCGACAAACATAATAAAGATTATACGGGACAGCAAGCAGCCTTGCCGAACTCCTGTACTCATTTCGAAGATTCAGACTGTTTTCCACTGTGGATGACTTGACAAGATGAGGCTTCGTAGAAGTCCTGGAACAACTTAATAAACCTCGATGGAATTCCATAGTGGTGTATAAGCTTCCATATGACGTTCCTGTGTAAACAATGCGTTTTCAAAATCAATAAAGTTCATTTATAATGGCGTCTGCCATTCATTACACTGTTCTATGAAATCTTATCCTTACGGTGGCAGTATGCTCTGTGCAAGATTTGTCTTTCCTAGAGCCGGCTTGCTTACATTGTAGTTGTTTGTTAAGGGCATCCCTCAGTAATTAAATCTAGATTAGTGTTCCCTTGATCCCAACAATCTAATCAGGAGTTCTGATCTCTTGTTCCCTGAAAATAATTTGACAATATTCCTTGTTCCCTTATAATAAATGCCCCTGTTACCCCGCTCCATAAGCTCTGAGAGCCCTAGCAACAATTAAATCAGAGTGAATGAAAAGAAGATGTCAAAGCCTTATTTGCCTTATAGGATAGGGATTGAGCTCTGTTCATTCGCACCAAATAAACCATGATCGATGTAAACACCAGAACGTTTTATTTAGGTCTTTTTATAACAAATCCTACAATTTAATGAAAGTTCTTGACTTTTCCTAATTTCTCAACATTGTTTGTTGGAAATGCTATAGTAGCTCCAACATGCCTAAAAGCGATCACTCTATAGAAAAGTAAAGTTAAGTCTGGTTTTTCAAGCGATCGAGAGCCTTTTCCACCGGTTAAGTTACTATATGACGGACGACATTGTTGATTTTATGAACACTTCTGTACTGGATAGTGTGTGATCTGTATATAGCTTTTTCCACCCTTTATAATACCGGCCTGGAGTTCTCTTTAAAATTAACCTGGTATTACAAAATCGCTTAAATGAGTGTAACCTACAGTTACAAAATCGTCGAACATAGCTTAACCTAAAGTGATCAAGTCGCCTAAAATGACAAAAGCGCCGTAATTAGCATAACCTCGCGAGCCATAATTTTCTAACAATGATATAGCGTAACCTAACGTGGCAAAGTCACTTTTAAAATGCTAAAGCCAGTGCAACGAATCAAATCCCCTTAAATTGTGTAACTAAGCGTGACAAAAAAAAATTGCTATTTTTCTTGTCTCCTACGTTGGTGTCTGGTGAATACTTTATGGCGGCACACAATGCATTAGCAAAGGCAACAGCGCCTAAAAAAGTACTAACATGTCTCTAACAATTCATGTAATGTAGCGATGTACTTCTTTGCCAGTCTTAGAGTTTGGATTCTTGACAGCCTGTCTCCGGGCTCTCTCTCGGAAAAGTAATCTGGTATTACGCTGCGAAGCACGTTAAACGCTCTCTTCAGACGCGCCTGCCTTTTGCGCTCTCTTTCTCGGTTCAGATCTCTTCGATTGGTCAATATTGGCATTCCCGAGGAGCGGTGACGTTTGGAATACAGGTTGTTCATAGTTTCCTTAGTCTGTTGTTCAAATTCCTCCATACTTTGTCTGTGTAGCAGTGTGTCCCAACATGCAGGACAGTCGGGAAAGGGCAAGCAATTTTGTAGCAGCACTTGATTGTTGTATATTTGTTCCATGGGTTTATTCACTTGTACTGATGCTTCGTCGGGAACGTTCGTTTGGTTGAACTGCATCTGCAGGGAATTAAGAAGGGATCAGCAAATTTATCGACAATGCCCTGTGGGAGTCAGATATAAAAGTGACGAGGATAAGTTTCGGATAATTGTAAATGACCCTTGAAAAGCTACCAAAATGTCGCTTTGTGGACCCAGAAGAAAGCGAGATATCCTAAAGATAACTCTAAGGGTGTTTGGTTTTGATTTTAAAAACGCCTTAAGCGAAACCGAGGAACAGACTTTAATTAATCTCCAAAACTACGACGACCACCGCCGTCGCTGTTACGTAACTGAAGTGGAGTTCCCATCCCCCTGCCCCAGCTCCCAGGCTATAATTATTAGCCTCAGAGAAACGCACATTCTTTTCTTTGGGTTTCTTTATGTCTGTAAAGAAAATTCCTGGAAAAACGCCAAAAAAATTCCAAATAAACCTCCCTACATTAAAATAGTACAAGTATCGTAGCTTGCCAGGAACAGCGTGTTTCACCCGAAATAACAAGTGCGGGAGGATATTTAAGATGATTTCTGGATGGGGTGATACACCCAGGTATAGTATAGTTAACAAGCGATGGCTTGGTAAAAAAGGCGATGTAATCAGACTCCTCTGTGCCCTGAAGATTACTAAGAGTTCAGTTTTATCTAGAATCTTCCAAGAAAGCAACGATTGTGAATTTGGATGTAGACTTTTGCAATTAAATCCAAGATATTCTTCTGGTTCATATTACAATTCCGATATTGTTTAAACAACACTGAAAAAGTCTTTACCCTTACAAAGAAGGTGTCTTCAGAGTAAAACTGGATACCATTGAGTTCAGTTCTGATAAAACTTCGCTGGGTTCTAACAAGAGTTAACTTATCTTTCCCTGCCGTGATTGATCTTCCATGTCAATTTTTTTGGAATTATTCAAGCGAATTTCACATACTGTTCAATCAACATTACCACGCCGCACCATTCAGGAGCTTCGTTCGTTTGTTCTCCTGGCAAAATTCAAGACTGTGACGGTTTATATTTTATGTTATCTTATTTGCCGCCTAATAAAACGCCCAAACAAGGATATACTTCAATGTGCGATTTTGAGGGCACGCAAGCGATACAACGCTATTTTCCTACACAGGATCTTGTGTAGTTTGCGCGGCAAGCGTTCCCGCATGTAATAAAAGCTTTCTCTGTATTTAGGGGCTGGACGAGGCATCGTCGTCCCCTGTCTGAGCACTGAGCAGTTTGGTCACAAAGAAACGTTCGCGTTGTCAAAATCGTATCGCACGTGCAAAATTGGACATGCGTGATTCACAAGTGTCTCCACAAGCGACATTGGCATGTCGATTCATCGATTAACTCCTTGATTTTGATTAAAAATTCACTTTCACCTTCTGTGAGGAAGCCGACAACTAAATAGTCAGGGGCACCCATGGACCGTTTTCTCTCAAATGCTTTTAAACGCTGTTTCAGGCTATCTGGAGTACTTTTTAAGCTCTGTGGGTTAATTTTAGGTTGCGTTAAAAGAAAATTTATCTGTTCGGTTATTCTAGGGGAACTCGAGTATTCTCGAATTTATTAGGGCTTTTTTGTCCATTCCCCGGAAACCTTAGGTCTTATCGCCTTTTCGAAAATGATAGCTGACCTTTTTTCGGTACCCAAAACGACATTTTGTTTACAATCCGAAAACAGCAGACATTAAATTTCTCATATCACGAAAGTTCGAGGTGACAATTCTCTTCAGAAAACCAGAGGAGATAAAAGGCCATCCGAACAGATAATTTACCGAAACAAACCGTTGGATGCCCCTAAATAGTGCATCTGTAAAGCTCAACGACTGTTTTTACTGTCATTTTTCACAACTGTAAAAATCCAAACCACTGAATAAAAGAAGTCAGGAATTTAAAACATTAAAGATGATTAAAAGTTGATCTCCCAGGTTGAGTTTTAGGTCTGCGTGGTACTCGGTATTCAAGTTTTCTAAGTAAATTCATAGAGGTCAGTATGGATGGAAAAGCCATCTCTGTTTCCTGCGGAAGGACGCTAGCTAATGCGCGGGCCGAAAATCAACGACAACAACTGCCAAGAACTCTTGTTCTAATTATGACAAGTTTAATGTTCGGACTAGTAAAAGTTGCAGGTTCTTGCAGCTATTGTGATGCCGTCAGTGGTGCAAGAACTCCATAAGAAAAATAATTAAAATTATACATATCTTTCTCACGCCTGTTGTACACGCACTATTTCACACTTTGAGAACTACAGTCTACCGGCCGTAAGCGACCGTTATCTTCGTTGTAAGTCTCACGTGTCACATGATATTTTTTTGGTCAGTTCTACCGGTTTTTTGATATGCCAAGAATTTTCCATTTTCAAAGTTTCTGAGTGGAGAAAGAAGCTGTGATTTCTCAGGATTATAACAGGGGTCGCCTGCTATAGCTCATCGATATGGACTTCTCGATCAGGGAGTCATGAAGTTCTACGCAGTGACCAAATGCCCTTATGTTATTCTATGTTTGTTCGGAAAGGTCTGACCACAAAGCGTCGAAAACATACATTTTATGGCATGCTAAAACTTAGAAAATTCCTAAACTGGAAAAACCAAAAGAGTCCTTTGAATCGTTGGGAATTTCTTACAGAATTTTTCAGGGGTTTAAAGAATTTGTTCCGTTGCAATTCTTCAGCAATTTCTGACTGCAAGGCATTTAGCGCACTTGAGCTTAACCGAAACAGACATCATTGACGAACTGATATCATGCCCGAGCTCCAAAGATTTGTATATAATACAAATCGATTGAAAGTAATTCTAGGAATCGATTGACATTTCTTGATAAACATAGAGTACTCTCAGGGCGTTTGGATGCGTCTTTTTCTCGAAATTGTCACAGTTTCTATCAGAGAGTTCAGCTATAAATTTCCTACGTGTAGAGAGCATGGTTCATAGTAGACCGAACTGATTTGTGGAATTGCTTGGCATTTTCAAACAAACATAAAACACTCACAAGAGACTTGAATAAGACTTTCTGTCGATAATCTGTAAAAATTTAAGACTGCAGAGCATTAAGCTAAGGACGTATCAAAATAATAATTAATTGTAGTCAGGTAAAAGAAATCAACAGTGTCAGGCTCAAATTATGACAAAATGAATACAAGACATGTTAATAACAATTTCAAAATGTCAAGAACAAGGTATTCACCTTCACTTGTCGTGCAAACTGTCCTTTGTCCCTCAACGGCAATTAAGGCAACTCAGCATCAGTTGTAGCTCGTTGTAAACATAGTTGATAGAGGGGAATGGTTATGAAACTCGACAAAGTTCTTTGTTTCATATTTTTGTTCTGTGTTTTGGCCTTCACCGTGCACAAAACACAATAGTTGTTTACTCCGTACCGAGGAAGCAACCAATAGAAACGTGTTGGTTACGTAATTCATGCATATAGTGTATGAGCGCAAAATGAAAGATTGTCCACGGTCGTGGACCAACATAAATCTTGGTATCTTTGTTTGCTCCTTTGATGTTTGCCGGGCTTCATAACCAGTCGCCTCTATTAACTATGTTGTGAAAACTTGAAAATCACCTGAGCCAATTATCGCAAAAATCGATGGGGTGCAATTGAACTTTGATTGATATGGTAATAGCGGCCATACGTTATATTGTGCTATTCTGTCTGCTGTTATTTCGAGTCGTCGCTCAGACGCGTGGTATGTACAACGATAGTTATTCTTTTTCAGGTCATTAGCTTATTAGCCTGAAGGACAATGCAGTTTCTGTTTTGTGTAACTGAACGATTAGTATTTATTCGGCTTTGTTTGTCCATGATATGATTGTGCTAATTGTTGCGGCATTATAGAGGTATTTTGTGGGGGAGAATATAGTAATCAACGAATTTTGCGAATTCTTCCGTACTGTACATGTTACCCTGAAAACAGAAGTCTGCCATGTTGAGATAACATCTCGTAAGGTCATACTGTTATTTTGTTTTATTAAAGAGGGGTAGACCATGTGGTATGTGAGAAAACGGCGTTGCTTTTATAGTTTTATCGCGTATAAAGAAATAAGTGCTTTCCCTTACCTTTGGCTAATCGGAGCAGTATGATATCTGTACACTATAAGTATTATTTCAAGCGTCGTGGTCACTTAATAATGACGCTTTTGAGGGACGTAATCAATCTCCCTGTCAGGTGTGTAGGTGATGAGAATAACGATACTGATCTGCTCACACCCAGCGCGAGTTCACGAGGATAGCCAAATGTTTCTTGAATCGAATGTTATATGTTTTGCTGGATCTTGAGACGGTTAATATAGTGTTCGTTTGCTCAAAGATAAACAAATGAGAGTTAAATACAACAATGAAAAACCTTAGCCGTCCTTTATTCCTACCTACCATCTTAGACACGAATTCAAAACAATTCGTTCGTTCGTGAACTGAATTCTCCCGAGTATTTGAATCTGATTGTCCGAAGGTCTAGTGGCATTTTATCAAATTGATCGTGCAAACAGACCAGTTGGTTTGATTCAAGATTAACCTCGTGGTCTTTTCACTGACTTTTTACTATTGCAGAATTTCAACAAGGATCACAGCCTACAGTCAAAAAATAGAAAACAAAAAACAAGGATAAGGGAATGAGAAGAAAACAAACAACTACACCTCGACCTAGTCCCCCTCGCCTGGTGGGCTCTTATCCAGGCACGGGTCTTCTTAGTCAGTCCAAAACAGTAAAGGATGATTTTAACGACAGTACTTTTTTAACGAATTACACCCCACAAACACAGTGGGTATCGGAAAATAGGCCTAGACAAATTCTGCTGAAAAAATGTTAAAAAGTTGCTTAAAAATATCCTCAAAATTTGCTCAAAAGTTGCTTAAAATCGCAAAAGTTGCTTAAAAACTTTTTATAGTTGCTTGCTGAAATCAAAGAGCAGCAAGCCGGCTCTCTTTATGTAAAACAAAAAAAAAAGAATAGTTTCAGTTCAGTTACAGTTTCTTGAAGACCAAGCTATAACACTGGTTTCATCTTACTGCTTTCTTCGGCAACTGTTGTACCTGATCATCTCGGATGCCTCAATGTAATCTTTTAAGGCGCTTTCCTGCTGGGATGAAAGGGTACTGAGCAGACTAAATACCCTCTCGGCAGAGGCAGAGCTCGGTTGGACGAGGAGTATTTTCTTTACAAGGGAAGCCATGGATTGGATCTCCTTGATGTTGTTCTTCATCGGATTCTTCATTGTCAGAAGAAAGCGCTTTTTTGACCTAGTTGTACCATATTTGGAATATCAACACAGGATACCCATTCTGGAAATGGAGTCACATCCGGCATATCCATATTTGGAATCTATCAACACAAGATACCGATCAAAACGCAAGAGAGTTTCTA